ATTTCTGCATGCCATCTTACGAGATTTAAACTGATGATCTATAATCCGGAATCGCCAAAGTCCCGACGAGTCCGGATTAACGACTTTTGACTGTATCAGTTTGACATTAGTTTATCCACAATGAAACTACATTATTTCACAATGCTGTGAAAATTATTGAAGGGGACAAAACTTCAATTAGGGAAGTGTCAAATGAAATCAATAATTTAAATATAAAATTGCGAGAAAGAATTGATAACAATTACATTCTTATAGTTATTTGAAAGGACATCACTAAGTTGGAAGAACAAGGTGCCATTAAACGACCGGATTTTCTGAAAGATGTCAGAAATTTTTACAACTGCTTGGAATATCTTGAAAAATAGACAGTTCAACTCAAGGATATTAAAAATTTTCATTGGGTGACATTAATAAAAGAGATTTTATGAGAATATGTGGAAAAACTTTTCAATATGTTAGTAACCATTTTCTTAAAAATAATATTTGTGAAAATGATTTTTTTGATGAGGTGTCAATGGTAAAAAGATAAAAAAAAAAAAAAAGACGGGGTTATTCCTTCATTTTAAACAGAGTAATATTTATTATCAGACTATTTTGAAAATTGTACAATACGCACTTTCCTTTTCAGGAACAAATGCAGCAACAAAACGTGTTTTTTTTTCTAGTATCAATAAAATATGGACAGATGAAAAAACACAGTTGAACATTAAAACTGTAAAATCTATAATAAGCGTAAATATAATTTGATCAATTCATGTGAGGAATTTCACAGCATTTTAATAAATGATCCGAATCTTTTGCAAAGTATTCACTTGGATAAAAAATATGACCATGAAAGAAAATAATATTTTTTTTAAAATAAAAAATTTAAATTGATTAAAAATCATGTTCAAAATAATTAATAATAAATACATTTTTGTTAATTTAATTTTTTTGAATTATTGGCCTGCTTTCATAAGTAAATTATAATTCTCATTTCATCCCACTTTGTCTCAATGAAAATGTGGTCACTTTAGGTTTAAGTCTTGTAAATATTGGGTCATCCAATAAATAATGCAGTTTTTTTTTTATGAAATAAAAGGAAAACGATGGGATAAACAACTTGCATCAACTTTTTATAAAAGCAAGTAGTAATTTAACCTTGTTCTTTTTAGTTTTGTAGAGTGTGTTTGATTTTAGCATGGAAGTGATTAACTTGTTTGGTATACACTCTTTTGTGAAAAAATCAAAGCACCATGAAGGAAGTGGTTGTTTCTGATGAAGCTGAATATGTGTATAGCTCATATACAGATAATACAATGATTAAAAAATCAAGGTCATTGTACCTGTTCACGGCTCACAATAGCCTATTGCGTGCTCCAATTAGTAGTTGGTTAAACTGCCCCTGGCATGCTTGAATTCGTCGAGGCAAAGAGTGGTAGAGGTTTCTAATGTCATCCTGCGACACATTCTGTTAGGCATTCATCAGTTGTCGCTCCAGAACTGCGATATTTTGTGGTGCCCGAATCTGCAGCCTATCATGCCCCAGACATGCTCGATTGATGCAAGCTCTGGTGACTTTGCTGGCCAAGGAAGAGTATCAACCATTATCTTGCTGGGAAATGGCCCCAGGATGACGTGCCATGAAGGGTAATGCAGTCGGATGCAGGATGGTATCAACATTTCGTTGAGCTGTTAAAGATTTACGGAGGATGACTAAAGATTACGTGCTGTCATAAGAAATAGCACCCCACACCATCACACCAGGTGTTATGGCTGTATGCCTTTGTAAAACAAAGCCTGATTGGGACCGCTGGCACCGTCCTCTCCAGGCACGAACATGGTGGTCATCTGCTTCAAGAGTGAAGCGGGATTCATCGCTGAACACTATACGATGCCAGTCTGATGGCAGCCATGATGATCGAGTGCGACACCACTCCAGACGACTCCGCCGATGTTGTGAGGGTCAAAGGCAAACGTCTTAAATGCTTCTGTGAGCATAAACCCACCTCAGACAAGCACCGTGAGATGGTGGACGGTATCACAGAAGGTATAAACATGACTGTAGTTCGTTGAATAGTCGACAGTACCATTGGGGCAGTTCGGGCCTGGCGACCAATCATCCTAGCTTGCCTCGCTTTGTGCTCCTTGGCCTTCCAGAGCCTTAATTTCGTCAGCAATTTCCTTGTAGCAACCATTGCTGCCAACATCTTTGCACATCAGTGTCTGTACACTGCAGGTGGTGGCCTATTGCTCGGTATGACCACCCAGCTTCACACAACCCTACAATGCAACCACGTTCGAAGTCGTTTAGTTGTCTGTAAGGTCTTCAATATCGTCGTATTGGCATCTAAAGAGTCTTCTATAAATTCTATAAAAGAATTACAATGGCAGTAACAACAAAAGATAAATTGCACACTAGAAATGTGCGCTATGATTGCAATTCCTGTTCATTTGCATGTTCGATCAAGATGTTTTTGCATACCAAATTTCTTCATGAACACAAAAGTCCTTGGTGCTTTGATTTTTTTTTGCAAAAGAGTGTATTTTACATAAGTTCAATTAAATAATAATTAATAGTTTTATTGCAGCATATGGGGATCAGACAATAAGTGTAAGGCAGTGTTAGTGGAAATTCCAGGCTGGAAAATACAGCCTAGAACATGACACTCTTTCTTTAATATCTTTAGAGCTCGACAACGATGTTCTATAGAACTTTGTGGAATAAAATCCTATCATAACTGTTGAGGACCTACAGAGGAGAGAAGGAAATATATTTTATATTTAAAAAAAAAATGTTTTTGAAAAATGAAGCGTAAAAATTGTGGTCACAAAGAAGATGAGAGTGAAGGGTTGATTGCATATGAATAAAGGAACAAGAACTGTTGTGTTCTGTATTTTAACCCTCTGAGTGGCCAGGGTTTTTGCTAAGAAGGCACAAATTTCCCAAAACTACTATGAGAACAAATTATTTTTAATGAAAAATCTCCTGGTAATCCTATTTTTTGAGATATGGTCAATTCTGAAAATCATCATACTTTTTTAGGAAAAAATAAATTTTATACAGTCAAAAGTCTTTAATCCGGACTCGTTGGGACTTCGGCGATTCCAGATTATACGAGTTTTTCCGGATTATAGATCATCAGTTTAAATCTGGTAAGATGACGTGCAGAAATTCTAAAATTAAAAAATTTGAAACCGTAATTTAAGAAATAAAGAACAATTATGATCTAAATGGTATCAAAATTTACCAAAAAAAAAAAAAAAGGCTTAATATTTATTTGTTTACTTTATTAAACATTTCTTTCAATGCACGCATGCGTAAAGCATACATTACGCATAGTCGAAATTAGAAAATTGCAACCAGAAAAACTATTTGATGTGTGTTCGTGATATTTATAATGAAGAGGAATTTGATTTAAATCATATCAAAGACAGAGTACATCGAGATGAAATACTACATTTAGTAATGAACTATAAGCCGAATAAAATAAAAACATCTGCCCCGAAGATAAGAATAGTGCTGACAGATCAACTTCCAGTTCATTGCGCGCGCGACGTTCTCCCCCCCCGCAGAGCAGTGTGAAATTGATAAGCAGATTTTGGAATGGTTAGAGAAACAAAGGATATGCATTTATCCATTTTTTGCAGCAATTCCACTTTTTGTTTGATGGACATCGAAACATGCTTTCACTTTGTAGATCCTTTGGCAGTATCCAGCATCGGAAAGTTCTATTTGACATAATCGAAAGTTCAAGCTTACTTTTATAAAATTGCTCTAATAGTCTACAAAAAATAATAAGCTGAATCCAATTCGAAGATTAAGGAATAATGCAATCTGCAACATTAACTGAAATAGATAATTTAGCTTAGCTTATACCATCCGTTATACATTAAACATGCATGCGTAAACGTATTATGCGCATGCGCACACGCATATGCGCAGCCGTAAAGGTCTTACGCGAACGCGTTAAACGCCTATGCGCATGCGTCAACGCGGCGCATGCGCAGAAAGTTTTTAGCTTTGAGGTCCGGATTATGGGTGTCTGAATTAACGACTTTTGACTGTATATGCCCTTGCCGCTTAGAGGGTTAAGAAAATCAGTCGCAGTTTTTAGTTTCAATATTATTCTTTTCACTTAAGCAGTGCATTTTAATCATTTCTTGTCCATTGCTGTTCTAAGTCAAATGTTTCTTAAGTCATATGATTAGAGAGGTAAGTGTGAGAAATATGGCAGTTTCTGTGTACATATTCTGTAACATTACCTTTAATTCTGCATAACTGAACAAGTGGTTAAATGACCGATAGTTGATACAGTCAAAAGTCGTTAATTCTAACACCCATAATCCGGACCTCAAAGCTACAAACTTTCTGCGCATGCGTCGTAAGACCTTTACGACTGTGAATATCCATGTGCGCGTGGGCAAAATACGTTTATGAATGCGCGTTTAATGTATAATGGATGGTATAAGCTAAGCTAAAATTATCTAATTCAGTTAATGTTGCAGATTGCGCTGTTCCTTAATCTTCAAATTGGATTCGGCTTATTATTTTTTACTGACTGTTAGAGCAGTTTTATAAAAGTAAGCTTGAACTTTCAATTATGTCAAACAGAATTTCTGATATATATTTACTAATATGTAAAGGATCTACAAAGCGAAAGTATGTTTCGAAGTCCATTAAACAAGAAGTGGAATTGATGCAAAAAATGGATAAAGGCATATCCTTTGTGTATCTAAACTTTAACGTTTGTTTATCTAAACGTTTAAATAATAGATATTTCTTTTCTATATAGTGCATTTTCTTCTTTTAATGGTCATAAATTACAGTTTTAAAGCAATTAATAAATCATGCCATGCTATCCATGTTGTTACAGTAATATTATTTTATTAACTAATGCTATTGTATGATTTCTAAAGCAGAAAATTGGATTAAATGCTACTGTCCTGAATATCTTTTCAACATTTCAGTGTAACAGAAGAGTGCTCTGATTTTTATTTTAATAAATGTCTATTTTCAGGTATATGAATATCCACATGACTGATGTGCTATTTATAGCTGCATCTGGAGAGAAAAAGAAAATGAAATCGCATTTGTGCCAAGGAAAATTCATCAGGTTTGATGTTATTTTTTTATTAAATATTCATTAATTGATTGTTTTAATCATGGCAGATCATATGAAAGCTGTTGGCTGAAGAAGAATACTTTCGTGGAAGTGTTTTTTTTTGGGGGGGGAGGGAAACTAGCTCATATTTATGTTGCACATGAAGGGAACTTCATGCATCCAACTTCACCTACTGGGAATACAAACCAGGACAGAAACCATAATTTGTGTGTTTAGTTGTTCTCTGCCGTCAGTGTGCTCATTGATTTACATGTGAACAAAATTCCTGTGAGGTACTGCAAGCTTTATTGTCACAATTTAAACAGAACATCAGATAAATTTGCTTAAGTACACAAAAGTGACATAATGTATATGATGGGATATTTGTAGTTTGTAATGTTATGCTAAAATTACCTAATATCATGCATTTACTTTATTTAAAGTACAGGGTGTCTATGATTAAAGAACTCGTTTTCAAAGCTATGTACAAGCAAAACCAGTGATCAGAAAACTGTGCAATTTTGTGGCAGACTTAATGAAAGAATGAAAATGTCAATCAGAAAAAACAAAATTAGTTGCAAATAGCATCACTAGAGGGCATTTTACTTTGAAAACCTGTAGTAAAAATGTAAATCTTTGTCAGTGTCGTGCAGCAGCTGTTATAAAACCTAGAAACACTCATGAAAACTTTGTTTTCATTGTGCACGATGATGGTAGGTTTAAGAGATTGTGCTTTGTTAGTAAAATTGTTTTACGAAAACAGCTGACACTTTGGTAATGTGTTCACTCCTCGATCCCCAGACCTCAATCCATGCGATTTTTGCCTTTGGGGGACATTTGAAACATCTGGTAAGTCATGACAATCCTTAACCTAATAAGTAAGACCTTAACCTAATCCTAAAGATAGCATTTCATGCCACATGCTGAACATTTCCTGACACACACTTCGGTCAACTGTAGAACATGCTATCTTGCGATTTCGGATAATAGCTGAAAATGATTGCCTGTATAATTTATTAATAAATGCCCTCCAGTGATGCTGTTTGTAACTAATTTTGTTTTTCGCTGAAAGATATTCTCATCCCTTTGTTAAACTGTTCAGGACTAGCGTCGAGTAATGCGATGCAACTATTCTACTCCTACCAGCCCAGCGGCGTGTATCTGCACCTCAACAATACTTCTCCTACCAACCCAGTGTCCCTTTTATGTAACATTAAAATTTAACAATTTATTTGAATTTTTAAAAGCCAGTAGATGGAGCTAAGTGGTAACTGTTTTCACATGGGCTGATTCATATGGCATTTGACCTTCATGTACTGGCATTAGTTTGTGTTTTGTGCTTCTGGTTTTGATAGATTTATTGAAATAAACAAACTGGGAATCACGGCTGTAAGTGCGCCTGTGAATTTAAAGGGCACAGGCGTTTTTGTTTATTTCCTTAGGATTGTTTTTTGGTTTGTTTTTCTATTTATTTTGAAACTTAAGCTTTCTTGGTTAATTAAAAAGTAACATTACAACATTATTACAGAAGGGGAAAGATTATCAGTTTTCTCGATGCATAATGCATCTTACTCGCTCGCATTTCTAAGGAAAGATCCAGCTTTTTTGTTCTTACTCAATTTAATAGGTCATTATATATAATGCCTTGAATGGTCATTATATATAATGACACAGGCATTATATTTTGGTATATAATGTATATATTGATGTGATCAGTAATGGATATCCCGCCAGTGGTGCGTCTTTCCTTGATCACTTTCTGGTCATCGTGGATGCTGTTTTCGATTTAGAAGAACAGGAAGTTTTCTAATATAAACCTGATGCCATACAGGGTTTGAGGATGAAATATTTCTGAGTATCTTTTGAAGAAGTTTTGGAACATGCGTTGGGGTTATATTCAGTTTCATTCCGTTAGCCATGGCTAAGAGACCTTACTTAAAAATTTGTTCAAAATCACCGGACACTCCACCTTTTTTTTTTTTTTTTGTTTTTTTTTTTTTTTTTTTTTTTTTTTTTTTTTTTTTGTTTTTTGTTTTTTTTTTTTTTTTTTTTTTTTTTTTTTTTTTTTTTGTTTTTTTTTTTTTTTTTTGTAACTGGAAGACTGTTTTTGGAAATTTATGTTGACGGAAATGGTAATAAAGATAGAAGAAGGTGCTTTGTGCACTAAAACCAAGGAAAAGCAAAAGCAAACAATGTATTTTGAGTGCAAAATATGCAATGTAGGGCTGTGTGTCGATCCTTTTTTTTGAATTATTTCACGCACAGCAGAATTTTTAAATTGGAATTTTATTACCTAAATTCTTGTTTAGTTTTTTTTCATTTCGTATTTATATTTTTTCATGTTTATTGTATTTATGTGTGTATAGTTATGATTTTAGTAATTTGCCTGTTTAATTTTATTTCTATTAATGTGATATTCTTTATATTAATACACATTAAAAACAAGTACATTAAATACGCAGCTTCAAAAGTTGAAGTCATAATATCAAAATGCAGATTTGTTTTGTAACATTAGGCTTAACTGCTGAAAATGCGCTGACCCGTGACGACGATTCATTTCAGCGGGTCCCGTTCATGAGCTTGCTTCGTTCTTCAGGTGCTGTTCCTTAAGGGGTTAAGTCCACCACAAAATTTCACAGTTTTCTAATCAGGGATTTCGCTTGTAGGCAGCTTTAAAATAAGGTTCTTTAAATATAGACACCCTGTATTAAGATACTGTTTAGCTTATAACGAAGGAATTTCAAGAGTTCTTATGTTTTTAAGTGAGAAGGAAGCAAAGGTCGTTTTAATTACTTAACCATATTTCGCTATTATTTATAAATCATTAATGCCATTCAGGGTGAATATTATTCTCCCTTATTTCTTTTGTAAGTGTATAAATTTTATGAATGTAATCAAATAACTTACAATTTTTGTGTCCAAAAGTTTGAAATTAAATATGTATTATATTTTATTTACATGTTTTAAAATTTTTACACTGCTAAAAATCTACAAAACGACTTGTTGCAGCACAGATTGTTGAATAAATATTGGCTGTTTGTAACGTCTCATGGGTACTGTGCCCATGAGATGTTATAAACAGGAATTATAATTTAAAGAACAAATCTTATGAAGCTAAAAAATTTACGTTTTCATATCCGACCATGGTTACTGTTTAGTGAAATTAATTATCAAACTTATAAATCCACATACTCAAGCATGTATGAAGAAAATACATATTATATTACATACACACATTAGATTAGTGAAACTGAAAACTTCGCAAGGGGAGATTATAAGACCTACTAAGGACCTCGTACCTCTTGAACTCAACTTTACACCTGAGTCGGATATGCAGTGAGGTACAGAACTCGACGTAGGACGAAACTCAAAGACTTAACTACAGGTCAGTTGAGGTCCATCCTCTGCTGATAGGACCTCAAGTGGAGTGTCGCGTTTGCTTACTAGAACTTTACTTCCACGAACGCCCTCTGGCGAAAGAGACTAAAAGTAGTCAGTTGAACGGCTGACGCGTCTAACAGATATATAACGATAGACCGTCTCCGTATAAATTATGCTTGTAATCATTATAACTTGTAAGTAAATATTTTGTAGATATCTTTCATACGAATTAAAATTTCTTAAAAAGTTTATAGCTGTGTTCGCAGTGAATCGAAGTTCATCATAGAGACGGATACCGACAAGAAAAAAAAAGGCAGTTCAGGGCAGCCCTATTTAGAAGGTAAGTGAACTTTCACTTATCTATTTAATGATCAAAAAATTTTAATAGTACAAAGTTGATAAAATTTTTTAACATGGCGCCCGAACAGGGACTGCCAGTAACTGCTGTTTTCCTAACTATTGAAACTGTCTAAATTGATATCAGTTATATAGAATACATAAGCATAAATAATTAGTGAATTGCTGATACTTGTTGAATTATTGAATATTAAACAATGACGGAATTCATCGATACATTGAAAAGGAAAACGCGGCCACATAAGGGCTGCCGTTACAAAATTAATTGGCCGAATCGAAACTGAATTACCAAAAACAGAAGTGAATGCAGAGGAACTAGAAATTTCCTTAGAACTCTTAAATGAAAAATCGAACGAGTTAAAACAAATAGATGCCGATATAGAAAAATTAATAGACATAAAGGATCTAGACCAGGAATTAAACGGTGTTGACGAATATCGTGAAAGAATAACTACATTTAAATACAAAGCTAACAAAAAATTGAAAGAAATTAAATATAGAACAACAAAAATTTAAGTGTGTTAAGAAGCACTGAACAGTTAAGTGAAAGTATTATAGAAAACGTTAAAATCGAAAAGTCATAATGTGAAGCTTCCTAAACTTACGATTCCGAAGTTTTATGGCGAGAGCTGCGAATGGCTGACATTTTGGAACACTTCTTCATCAGCCATACACCAAAATAAAACGCTTGACGCCATAAGCAAATTTAATTATTTGAAATCCTTTTTGGGAGGTACTGCTTATAACACCATTGACGGTTTCGATTTAACCGAAAAAAAATTACGAAACTTCAGTTAAACTCCTCACAGAAAGATTTGGAAATAAAGATGTACTGATAAACACCCATATAGATAAATTACTGAAAATAAGACCTCTAAAGGATTCTAATGACATTCAAAATTTCCGTAAGTTATTCAATTATATACAGAAATATATTCGATGTCTTGAATCATTAAATATGACCTCAGAAACATATGGAGCTTTATTAACACCTATTTTGCTTAAAACATTGCCCTGCAGATTTGGTTTTGGAATATAATAAAACAGTTCGGAAATCAAATTACGATTTGAATCACCTAGTGGAATTTCTTTCTGAACAGTTAGTTGCGCGGGAACGTACATTCCAGACGGTCCAGCCAAAAGCGCGCGCCGCAAAAGCATAACAAACTGAGTGAAACCAGACCTATTGCGAAACACACAGCTTCGGAGTTGACGAACGCAAGTTTGCGGGGGGGAACAAACACCATGTGTTTTCTGCGACTCTTCTGATCACG